TATTTAAATATAATTTAAACCCGGTTTTTTAATATAATCAAGTTAATTTTTATGTTTTTTCAAATGACTTTAGATATGTTAAAAAGAAATACTTCAGTAAATTGTACCGTTTTTTGTTTAGCCTCCAATATATACAAGATGTTTTATTAAGCACTACCCCCCAATATTTTGTTCAATAATGATTTTTTTTATAAAAATGTACGATTTAAAATTTGTAATATCTGATTTATTGTAACAAAAAAATTATTCCCAATTATACATTTTAGAAGTAATTTTCGAGAGTTAAACGGGAACCTATTATTATTTTTTATTATTAAAAGATAGATATAATTTGCTTTTAGGCTCTAAAATATAATTGACTTTATTTATATTGTGGGAACCTTTTTATTGTATTAAAATTTCTCTTAAAATGCTTTAATTTTGTACAGGTTTTGATTTGTCAGAAGTCCCGGAATATATTGCAAAATTGAAAATGAAGTTATTTTTTTATTTTGACGGCTGATTTTACATAGTAGAATAATCTTAGGATGGATTTTTTTTTATTCATTTTAAGAGCAGAAATTTTATATAGATTAACGGTTGTCAAACATTCAAAACATTTTTTTAAATAACATTTTTTTACGGCAGTGTAATTTTGAGATATTTTTTTAAATTTCTAAAATTGAAGTTTTTTTAAAATTTTGGTGCTGATAAGTTCAATTAGATTAAAATCGATTTTTTTATCATATTAATCATTAAAATCTGTCCAGTAAGAGCTGAGAATTTTTATGAATACACATAAATAAAACATATCTTGGTAACTTAAATACCTTCTCAGCTTCGTATAGAAGCTACAAATATACTTTAAACGTAGTTTAAGAAGGCAATAGCTATTTAAAAAAAATTTTGACAAAATAATAATTGTATCAAAAGTTATAAATGTTTTCAGTTAAGTCTCAGCACTTTTTAATTACAATAATATTAAAATATTTTTAATTTTAAGGTTTAAATTGACACGGTACCGTGTTTCCCTCAGCCGCACATCTTGTTATCAACCTAAATGAAAGTGTATCGGGATCTGAATCCTAAGTGCACGGTGGCCTAGTGGTAAGGTTTGTCTTAACGACGCCTTGGGTCGCGGGTTCTAATCCCGTACCGTGCCTCTTTTTTTTCACATGATTTCCGGTACACTTTCTATAACCGGCCGTCAATCCCCGGCGGTCGTGTTAAAATGAACTAATCTTAAAATTAAAAGAATCAAATACACAAATACGCATAATTTAGTAGTAATGCAAAATTTAAGGAAGCTCAAAAAATTTGGGGGATTATGCTTCTTTTCTTTTTAACACGCTTTTATTAGTTTCACGTGTATGTTTGTTGTTGTTTGTTGTTTGTAAGTTTGTAACTCTCCAAACGCCACGCGTTATCGCATATTCCGTTGTCTAGACTAGACTGTTATACGCATTCACCCCTCCCCACGCCGCGCTCACAATACGACGGTACACTATTCCTATAAAAATTTATTTTTAGTTATCGTACCCGTACACGCGTGCTTGTCATCAATATTATATATATGTAAACAAATTTTTATTTTGACTGACCAATAACGCCCGCGTCTAATGCGCCTTACGTATATATATATATATTCCTACCGCCGTTTATACCTCGGGTATAACGTTAGTCCGACCCGCCCGGCCATAAAACACAGCTATACTTAGTGCATGATACTTTTACGTAGTTAAGTCGCATTATTTGTATAAATATATATATTCTAATTACTATTAAAATTAATATATTAACACGATTTATTCTAATTAAGAGATATAAAGTATTCATTCCGATTACGAGGGATGATTTCCGTATCGTCATTTTTCGTCACTACCTCCACGTTCCGGGAGTGAGTAATTTACGCGCCTGCTGCTTTCCTTGGATGTGGTAGCCGTTTCTCAGACTCCCTCCCCAGAATCGAACCCTGATTTCCCGTTACCCGTAACAACCATGATATTGATAGTAACTACTATCATAACATGAAACTAAAAAGTAAAAAATAAATATAGTTTAAAAAACTAAAAAAACACGCTTTTAAAGTACATCGAACTAAAAAGTTAAAAATAATTTTTAAAATAATTATGAACAAAAAATACTAGTATTATTGTGATAAAAGCGTGGGTGCTTTGTGCCATATTTTTCGTATATTGAGCGCCCGACGCTTTTATCACAATAATACTAGTATTTTTTGTTCATAATTATTTTAAAAATTATTTTTAACTTTTTAGTTCGATGTACTTTAAAAGCGTGTTTTTTTAGTTTTTTAAACTATATTTATTAACACGCTTATATTAGTTTCACGTGTTTGTTGTTTGTCGTTTGTCTGTTGTTTGTAAGTTTGTAACTCCACGCGGCACGTGTTATTATGTCGCGTATCCCGTCGTGTATGACCTTGAGACTATACTGTTGTAACGCATTCGCCCCACCCCGCTCACCACTCGTAGAGAACAATATTTTCCAACCCGTAGACGCGCGCTTATCATCAATTATATACAGAATGTTCAGTAAGTCAGGAAACGGGTTTCTATTGCTCTCATTGTTTGTAATAATGAGAACAATAGAAACCCGTTTCCTGACTTACTGAACATACTGTATATATAACAAATTTTTATTGTAATTGACACAGCCCCGCGTCGTTTTACGCCGCGGTGCAAAGTCCAGCAAGTGCCGCACGGCCGACGACGTCCCGCCGCTATACCGTAGTCTTCTTCCCATTGTCAAAATAACATCGTCAACAAACTGATCCGCACTCGCGCACCGTCGTCATCTACGCTGCTAACCTATTGACGCCCGAGGATCACGCCGGACATCGCGTCTTCGAAGCCAGCAAAAGTGCCGCGATATTATGCGAAGATTATATATTCCGCTAATATTAATATATATATATTAATATTTATACGTATATGTTAATATTCATTTATATATTCCTACAGACGACGCCTCTGCCGCCGTATATGCCTCGTGTATAATGTTCCCTCCGCCATGCCCGCCCACATAAACACGGCTATACCTCATGCATGATACGTTTACGTACTTAAGTCCCTTTAAATATATATATATTCTAATTACTATTAAAACTTATATATTAATACACTTTATTCTCATTAAGAGATATGTAGTGTATTCATTCCGATTACGGAGGATGATTCTCGTATCGTTATTTTTCGTCACTACCTCCACGTTACGCGCCTGCTGCTTTCCTTGGATGTGGTAGCCGTTTCTTAGACTCCCTCTCCGGAATCGAACCCTTATTTCCCGTTACCCGTTACAACCATGATATTGATATTAACTACTATCATAACATGAAACTAAAAAGTGAAAAATAAATATAGTTTAAAAAAACTAAAAAACACGCTTTTAAAGCACATCGAACTAAAAAGTTAAAAATAATTTTTAAAATTAACTTAAAACAATAATGAACGAAAAATACTAGTATTATTGTGAAAAAAAGCGTCGGGCGCTCAATATACAAAAAATATGGCATAAAGCACCCACGCTTTTTTTCACAATAATACTAGTATTTTTCGTTCATTATTGTTTTAAGTTAATTTTAAAAATTATTTTTAACTTTTTAGTTCGATGTGCTTTAAAAGCGTGTTTTTTAGTTTTTTTAAACTATATTTATTTTTCACTTTTTAGTTTCATGTTATGATAGTAGTTAATATCAATATCATGGTTGTAACGGGTAACGGGAAATAAGGGTTCGATTCCGGAGAGGGAGTCTAAGAAACGGCTACCACATCCAAGGAAAGCAGCAGGCGCGTAACGTGGAGGTAGTGACGAAAAATAACGATACGAGAATCATCCTCCGTAATCGGAATGAATACACTACATATCTCTTAATGAGAATAAAGTGTATTAATATATAAGTTTTAATAGTAATTAGAATATATATATATTTAAAGGGACTTAAGTACGTAAACGTATCATGCATGAGGTATAGCCGTGTTTATGTGGGCGGGCATGGCGGAGGGAACATTATACACGAGGCATATACGGCAGCAGAGGCGTCGGCTGTAGGAATATATAAATGAATATTAACATATACGTATATACGTATAAATATTAATATATATATATATATATATATATATATATATTCATATGTTAATATTCATTTATATATTCCTACAGCCGACGCCTCTGCTGCCGTATATGCCTCGTGTATAATGTTCCCTCCGCCATGCCCGCCCACATAAACACGGCTATACCTCATGCATGATACGTTTACGTACTTAAGTCCCTTTAAATATATATATATTCTAATTACTATTAAAACTTATATATTAATACACTTTATTCTCATTAAGAGATATGTAGTGTATTCATTCCGATTACGGAGGATGATTCTCGTATCGTTATTTTTCGTCACTACCTCCACGTTACGCGCCTGCTGCTTTCCTTGGATGTGGTAGCCGTTTCTTAGACTCCCTCTCCGGAATCGAACCCTTATTTCCCGTTACCCGTTACAACCATGATATTGATATTAACTACTATCATAACATGAAACTAAAAAGTGAAAAATAAATATAGTTTAAAAAAACTAAAAAACACGCTTTTAAAGCACATCAAACTAAAAAGTTAAAAATAATTTTTAAAATAAACTTAAAACAATAATGAACGAAAAATACTAGTATTATTGTGAAAAAAAGCGTGGGTGCTTTGTGCCAAATTTTTTGTATATTAAGCGCCTGACGCTTTTTTTCACAATAATACTAGTATTTTTCGTTCATTATTGTTTTAAGTTTATTTTAAAAATTATTTTCAACTTTTTAGTTTGATGTGCTTTAAAAGCGTGTTTTTTAGTTTTTTTAAACTATATTTATTTTCCGCTAGTGACAATCATTAAAAATAATCTAAAACTGTTACCAAATTCAAGAATTTCTCATAATGTGATAACACTGGATTTTCACTGATATCACAGCTTGTATTTCATATGTTTTGTACTGATATAAAGTATAATTTGTTTATAGCACGTGTTCCTCAAAAAAGAAAACGTGAAGAATTTTTCAAGTACAATACTTTGTTTTCATCATTTTCACTATATATTTTATAATATAGTGTATGTTTATTTTTTGATCACTTTTTTATTAGAATTTGAAGTAATTTAGTTTTTTCTTAAGTTAGTAAAATTTACAACTAATTAAAATTAATTTTGAATTTTTCAGATCAAATCAGAATCAATGGTTGTATTCACTTGTAATAATTGTGGTGATTCAGTGTCTAAACCAAGGGTCGAAAAACATATAAATTATGAGTGTAAACGTAAACACTTTACAGTTAGTTTCTGCTGTGTTGACTGTTTGAAAGATTTCAAGTAAGCACATGGTTTTTTTAATTATTGTCAATATAAGCATTTATTTTCTTCTTAATCATATATTTATTGTAATAATAATAAAATATAAGGCTGTTATTTATCATTTGGTTTTTGGCCTTTTAATGTATTTTAATATTTACCTTATTTCAAGTTAATGTAAAACTTGCTTGACCTTTCATCTTTGTCATTCTACACTAGTGAACTGTGCTATTGTGTCCTGCCAGATATTTGATATTTTAATTAATTAAAAACCTAAAAATAGCACTTAATGATATTTTTGCACTACATACATTACGCACCTAAATGAATCAATACAATTATATTATCTAAAAAGTTTTAACAAAGTACATTAGAAAATTAATTATTTTATTATCTTATATTAGTAGGAGGCGGTTATTATCTATAGACGGTCATTTTTCTGAACTTGTAATCATTGTCAGTAAAATATTTAATTTTAAGAATTACCTACTTATAAGTATGACTAGTTAAATTTGATTTCTATGAATTGTATTACATTGTTTATGATGAACAACTTTAAAATTTTATAACTTTAGAACTACTTGTTTCCACTAATTTTTTTTAAATCTTTTTGAAAAAAACCATAAAAAAACGTGAGTAATAAAAGGAAAATTTAAAAAAAGAAAAAGGTGCTTGTAAAGCAGACTTGTTCTTAATAATGCATAAATCCATTTGAATAGTTTTTATCTGATTAATCTGAGATCATTAATTTTTGTATAAGCACGCCATAAAACAATTTTTAAAAGGCGTTTTTAAATTTAAATGGTTTAAATAATTAAATTTAAAGAATATGATTTAAACTAAATAGTTTAAAAACATTTTTAGTTTTAAGTGACACTAGAGAAAGAAAATCATTTTTGTTGGGGTGAAAATTAAGACCATTTAGCTAACTTTTATAAATTTAATTCAGTTGACTATAATATTTAAAAAAGGCTATTTGCCCATCTAATATATGTAGTTAGTCTCCTTTTAGTGTTGTCCCTATGTGAATCATTATTCTTTTTTTATGTGATTCAATGTAGAATTAAATTAATATTATTGTAAAGATTACTATTTTTTCATTTTATTTTAATACATACTTGAGTATATTTGTCTGGGTTAACATTTATTTCAACCATTAATATCATATTTTAGTATCGATACAGTAAAGGAACATTGTCAATGTATAACTGAAGAGCAAAGATATTCTGCTAAAGGGTTTGTACCAAAAGCATCAGCTGAAAAAGGGAAAAGAAAACAAGCAAGTTGGGTCGATATTGTACAATTGGTAATTGATAAAAAAGATTTGCAAAATGATGAACGTCAATTCTTAAGTATCATAGCAAAGTTTGATAATGTTCCGAGAAAGAAAAATAAATTCCAGGTATTTTTTAGATTTATATATTAGCAATATTATACTATGATATATTTAAATGATTATTTTATTTATTTGTGTTATGTTTTAGAATTTTTGTTTTTCTACTGCTCCTGCATATCGTCAAAAAGGATATTTAGTTGACAAAGTATTTGACATGATTGAAGCTGAATATAAAGCACAGCTATCAGAAAATTCCAACATTAAAACATCAGAAAATGTTAACAGTAATCAATCTACTGAAAGTACATTGCAAACTAACATAACCACAGATAAGTGTCAAATTGACAAAGAAAATAATAATATAGTAAACTCTGAAAAAATTGTAGAAGCACAACTAGAGAAGAAGAAGAAAAAAAAAGTTAAAAACTCAGAATTTTCAGAAAACAACAGTGAAAATTTATCAAAAAATGTAGAATCATCTCCAGAAAAGAATAAAAACAAAAAACATACTTTAGAACTAATTTCAAGTACCAGTGAACATAATCCAGAATTAATTGCAAGTGTAAAGTCAGTAAAAAAGACAAAAAAGAAAAAGAAATCATTAGAAAATAGTGTTTCTACAGAAGAAAATGGATTAAATAATGAAAAACTTGTACAAACTGAAAAAAAGAAAAGGAATAAATCACTTGATAATAGTATTACTAATATTATTGAAAATGGACATTCTAAAAAAATCTCTGAACTAATTGAAAATGAAGAAATTAAAGTTGAATTGAGTAAAAAAGAAAAAAAGGCATTAAAAAAGAAATTAAAATATAAGCAAGAAGTTGAAACTGTTACTAATGGTGTTATTATAGAAACACCAGAACCACTATCAAAAAAGAAAAAAAGAAAGTTGGTGAGTAAAGAAGATACTGAAGAGCCACAGCAAAAAGTTATAAAAACTGGTAAGTATAGTATTAGTAAAAATTAAGATATGTTAATTTTTTTTGGTTTATTTATTGCAGTACTTGAGTTTCAATATTTACTGTTATAATGCTTGTATTAACAATTCAAAACCTATAGTTTTAAGTTAAATTCTATAAATATGTTAAAAAATATCTAATTGAAAACATTATCAATAAAAATGAAAAAACAATATTTTTTAGGAAATTATCATGAAAAATAAAATCATTGAAATTATCTGTTTTTTTTTTGTAAATTCCAACATTGGTGTAAAAAATAAACTTTTAAACATATTCTGAAAAACTTGAAACATTTTTATATAAATCAAATTAAAGCTCACATATTATTCTTTAAGTTAAAAAAAAACTTGTTATCTATGTGAAATCAGCTATCAAAGTATAAGTGGTATATTTTTGTAAAAAAAATATCATTTTTTTATTTCCTAAATTTTAGTTTTAAGTATTTTTAACTAAGTAAAATCTATAGGACTTGCAGTTTTAGGAAACTAGTTTAATTATAACCTAATCTCCTAAAAATTCTTAAATTATCTTCTTTATTACTTACATCAATGTGTTTTATGATACTTATTTTAATCACTGTTCAAATTAAATATTAACTAGTTCCAACAATGCCTAGTCCTCATTACTATTGATTTTCTTTTTAATTAATTTTGATTTTGCTTTAATATTATGTATGGCTAAATGAAATTTAGATTTTAATTTTTTTTTTTTTGAGCAGCATTTATGTACTTATATATTATTATTAAATATCATTCATTAATCTTTAATTTCCTTGATTTGATAACAAATATTTTTTTTTTTATTTTTAGAAAAAGCTTCTCAAATACCAGAAATTCAAAATGGTCGTAAATTTAAATGGAATGAAGCGATCTTTCAAATAATTCAATGTAAAAAAGGAAAACCTATTTCAATAAATAAAATTAAGAAAAAAGTTATGAATGAATACCACTTTTTTAATGAATCAACTAATAAATCTGAATCTGATCTAGAAAAATTATTTCTAAAAAAATTGAAAAAATTAAAAAATGTTCAAATTGATAATGATAAAGTACAGTTAATAGAATGTTAATCTAACTTTTTAAAGTAAATGTTGAATACTATTGTTAATTAATATTTTTTTAATTTGTATTATTGACTTAAAAATATATTTAAAAAATTATCATAAGTTTAGCTTTGTTGTTATTTATTTTAGAAAAATGGTCCTCATTATTTTTATTTTTTTGATATTCAATTTAAAGTGAAATATTAAATTTCATAATGTCTTGTAATATGTAAGTTTTTTATATCAGTTTTGTTCTTTTAAAATAATCTTTGATTAAGTTGATTTAATATATCATAATTATTTATCATTGCAATTGTTTCAAGAATATTATATTGACTATATAACATTTTATTTAACTTATCAAATAAATATTTAATAAATCTATATTATGTTTCTGAAATAGAGAAAAATACATTTATCATAAAAAATAAGAAATGTAAAAAAACTTCAAATATTTTAATAATTCTTCTTCCTCTCCTTAATCCCAACTACTTGGGATCGTTCAAATTTAATAATTAGTAATCTAATTTCTGAAAAGGAGCACACACAAAAAAGTAAATAATTTTTTTATTATATTATTCTTTTCATAATTTAATATGTATTTGTCTACTCAAAACGGTATTGTGAATATTATATTAATAATAACTACATTCAAACACTTTTATTCCACTGTCATTAGTGCCAAATTAAGATCGGCGTCTTAAAGCCCCAGGGATTAATGTTTTTAGATGATGAATTGTTTCTTTTTAATCCAGATCTGTATAAAAATATTTAAATGTTTACACAGATTGAAAATTTTAGTTAAACAAATTAACATGTTTCTTAGGTAACAATATGTTAATTTAAAAGTTTATAATCCTCAATATTATTTTTTAATTTCTGTATTAATCACCTGGCTTAATTGTTTATAAGGCGAATCATTTTAAGAATTGTTTCAAGGTTACTTCATTGAAATGTTTTTATACTAATCATTTGAACATTTTAGTATTTAGTAATTTGCTCAGTTGAAGGTAAATACAAAATTAAAGATAATGTGTTTTCTCAGGATATATTTTGTCCAATTTATGTTAATATTAATAGATTTTAAAGGCATAAATACAACGTCTCATCACTGCATATTTCAAAAATGCAAATTTATCAACTTACAACCCTTGAAGATCTATTATCTATCTCATCAGTTAAAATAAAGATTTTTATCTCGAAATATTTTACTGAGTAATTATTTAGCTGCGCATTTCCTATTTAATTAATATAAATGTATATGTTATTTTATAAATATTAAATCTTATAAGATATATATAATTTTTAAAGAATGTGATGAATGTTAAGAAATATGCCTAGACCATAAATTGAAAAATGTTCTAAATTATATTATTTAACTGTAAAATAGATGTTTATATAACTTCACATAAAGTCTAGCCTCCGCTATTTTTGGTATGAATTATTTGTTTATTTTCTTGAGTAGATAATTACATTTATAAATGAAATACTTACAATAGAAAATACTCTGACCATAGCCATAATTTTAATGTTTAGGTCTACCTTAATTTCTTCACTTAAAAATAATTTTACATAAGAATGCATGTTATTTTCATAATTTATAATTTATTAGAGGGGTATATGATTGAATTTGAAGGAGATAAACCACAATAGGACCTTCAGATCGTGCCTATGACTCTAACATAAGAAACTTTTATTTTTGATGTGTAATAACACTTTTACAACACATAAATTATAATTATATGTTATATGAACGGTTTTTAATAATTTGAGAAATAATATTAATAGTTAATAGAAAAACAATTTTTCCACATTGATAAATTTACGGATATCCATAGATTATTAGCAAATATATGTCATTGACAAGGTTTAATTGGAAGACTGTAAGTAAAAATACCTATAAAATACGTTATGATAAGATACTTTTAATATTCACTAAAAATTTATAAGAAACAATATCAAAAAAAAATTAAGGAGCTATTAAAAATAAGTTACTTTATTTGTCACATAAAATTATTCCGTTTATAGTTAAAATATTAATTTCTAAGAATATAATTGTAAAAAATAGATAAACCGACTTAAGTGCTAAAAATTAAAAAAAATTATTAATTTGGTTGACAAGACAAAACGGTTTAAAGCCGGCAGCGGGTAATTATCACAGCTGCTTGCTATTGGTATATATTGGCCACACTGTACGTCGGCCACGATCGCCCATTGCTTCGTACACGCGCGCCAGTGAGTTGGTGAACGGAACGCGTTCGGAGTATTTACAATATTATTTCTCCCGTCGTATACTAGATATTTTTTGTTTTCAAAATGGCCGTGTGTTCGCTGTTTGTTTAGTGTGTACAATCGCGAAATGTATATATCTCGTTTTCTTATCGAATTTAATTCTAGCTCGTTAGGCGTGTGTACGTCGTGCCGTGTAATTACACTGAACGCGGTTGTATATTAAATATTGTTAATTTTATCGGACGCGTCGTGTCAAAATTCGCGGGTTCTGATTTGTTGCCGCTACTTTTAATTTTGTTTCTATCCAGTTCGCGCAAATTTATAAAGATATCTTGATTGGACATAACTATTTTTTCGTTTTTTTTTTTATCGATACCACCTACATTTCTTGTAAAATGCATCGTTCAAGAAGGTAGTTGGCACTACACTAACTCGCATTGGACGTGCACCTTGAAATTGTTTCTTCTTGCACATTACTACAAATAGTTTATATTTTATTAGTTCTTAAATTAACTGCGAAGGAAGCTTAATTCACATATAAAACTATTTCTCTAGCGATGAACATTGACTTATGTTCGGCGCAATGACGGATACTAAACGTCGAGTGAAGTTGTATGCTTTAAATGTTGATCGCCAATGGGACGATCGTGGTACTGGTCATGTTTCGTGTACTTATGTCGAAAGACTTAAGGGTGTTTCACTCTTGGTTCGAGCTGAAGCTGACGGTGAGTATAGTAAAAATCCTAAGAATATTTGTAATAAATTGTACAATCTCTTCCTATGCTCTAGGATTTCAAAGTATATCAGATTGTTACATCTATTAATTTGGAACCATCTTATTATTGCTGTTGTACTTTAATTATATTTATCAATTGTTATTAATATGCATTTTATTGAAAAAATATAATTAATAAATGTAATATAGCTATTTAAATAAACTAACTTCACTTGGATTCTATGTTACCTAAGTTTGTTCTTAAGTTATAATAAACTACAAATGAATCTTAATAATATAAAAATAAACAGTTTTTTTATAAATGTTACATAAAATATTTTATAAAGATAATTATAAAAAACTTAAGAATCTTAAATTAATAAAATTAATACATATACATTTTTTTTATACATTAATAATAATTTGGTAAACATAATGTATTTTTATTACTTTAAAATTTTAATGTTTTTAATTAATTTATAAACTTTATATTATGTAGAAATTTTTACTAAAAATATAATTCTTACTGTAATTTTGATTAGTTTTAATACATTTAAATATTGTTTTCAGGAGCCCTTTTGTTAGAATCCAAAATTCAACATGATACTGTATACCAAAAGCAACAGGTAAATTCCAATATACTAAAATTAATATTAATAGGATTTCTAGTACAATAATTGAGCTAATATAATATACATAGGACACATTAATAGTGTGGTCAGAGGCTGATAACTTTGATTTAGCATTAAGTTTTCAAGAAAAAGCTGGTTGTGAAGAAATATGGGAAAAAATTTGCAGTGTCCAAGGCAAAGATCCTACTATAGAAACTACTCAAGACATTGTAGAGGAATCTGAAGATGAAAGATTTGATGATTTGTCAGATTCTGCTCCACCTGTTGAATTACCGCCTTGTGAAATTGGCAGACTCAAAGAAATTAAAGATGTAATTTAAATTATTCAATTAATTTATATATCCTGAAATTAATGATATTTTTTATTAGCTCTTTATGACATGTATGGCTACTCCTTTAAATAAAGACCGATTAGCTGAAGCAATAGAGAATGATGGTTATATCCGAAAATTAGTTAAACTATTCAATTTGTGTGAAGATCTCAACAATTTAGAAGGTTTACATTGTTTGTATGATATCATCAAAAATATTTTTCTTATCAATAAAAATGGCTTGTTTGAAATGCTTTTTGCTGGTAAGTGTAGTTATTCAAAAAGTTTTTTATGAGAAATATATGATTTATTTATGTGATTAAATTTTTGTATAGATGACATAATTTTTGATGTAATTGGCTGTCTGGAGTATGATCCAACACAACCCATCCGGAAATATCATAGACATCATTTAAAAAATGTTTCTAGGTAGGTTGGTAGTTTTCATACAAAATTGATTTTCATTTATTTTCATGTAACATTAAATATTTACCAAGTTAAAATTGCATCATAGTATGGCACATAGGATATACTAGTTTCTGATAATATTTAGTCGTATTATGGTCTTGTTATCATAGATTTCTAGATGGAAATTACAAAGAATTTATTATTATGATAAATAATATTAAATCTTAAGTTCAATAAGTTATAGCATAACTTAATGTGTGTTAATTAAACATCATAAATTTAAATAAGCCTTCTAATTCACCAAAAAAATTAATTTTCATTGTACTTGTCTAAAATTTGTTAATTATCTCAAACTTATAAAAAAAACTTCCCTAAAAATAATTTTAAGATAATTTCTGATGTTATGACTTATTCTAAATTTCTAGATAGAAGCTATAAAAATTATGAATAATTAATTTATGTTTTTGGCTTAATTGTTCTGTAATATATATCCATTCTATGTGTTCAAATGCCTTATGTTTATGAGCATTTTGTTTAAAATATGGTAGAATTGTTAATTTTGTCTTAACAAATTTTCGAAGAATGATTATATACTAAGTATTTTAAAATTAGATTACTAAAAATGTTAGTTGTGTATATTCTAAAATATTTCTAAATATTTTCAATTATAAATTATAATAATAATTATTTCATAATGTTATCAACTGTTTTGAATGAAGTATAATAGTATGTGAAGTATCATGTTAATGAATTTTTTTTAGATTTAAAGAAGTTATTATGATAACTAACATGGAATTATTGAACAAAATACACCAAACACATAGAGTACAATATATACAAGACGTTGTTCTTCCTACTCCATCTGTTTTTGAAGATAATATGTTGTCTGCACTAAATAGTTTCATATTTTTCAACAAAGTAGAAATAGTAACTTTAATCCAGGTAAATTATGTAATATGATTTTAACTGTAGAACTTATTTTTTGCATTCTTTAAAAAATAAATTATTGTTACTAATAATATAAAATTATTATAATCTTTTATAATAAAAATTGATAACTTGTGGCTAATACTTTTAAATTAAAACTTTATTAAATAATAATCCTTTTCTTAAATATTTTCAAATGTCAAGAATATTCTTTTTTTGTTACATTTTATATTACTGTAAAATAAGCTTCAGATTATTCGATTAAATAAAATAAGTGATATAACTTACTGTATAAAAGTACCCAATTATCCAACTTACAAACTATTTACTTATAAATTTAGAAGTAACCAATTGTATTCTTGACAGCCAACTTGAACCCATTTTACATTAGTTATATAGAATTTTATTTAACTGGGATTCTTGCATTTAAATTGAAACTAAAACACTTGTCAGTTCTTATTTTTAGTCTTTGAACAAATATGTTGTTTAAAGTATTATTGATATTTTTGTTATTATGCCACTATTGACAAAGTAAAAGATGATTTTTTTTTCATCAAACATTATAATAAATATTCAAAACTTCAAATAATTTTCAAGCTTGATAAAATATTTCCAAAGAAATAACTTAGCTCAATTTTTTTTATTCTCTGGTAATAATTTACAGGAGAATATTTCTGTTATGAAGAATATTCTTTCGTTACATCATTAATTGTAACTAAATAACATTATTTTAATGAGATATAAATCATTAAGTTGTGTATCTCACTTGAATGGTACTTTCAGGAAGATGAAAAGTTTCTACCAGATCTCTTAGGTCAACTACAAGATGAAAATACACCAGATCCTAGGAAATTAGAACTAGTACAGTTCCTTAAAGAGTTTTGCAATTTTTCACAAAATTTACAACCTCCACAAAAAGAAAATTTCTTCAAGGTATTTTTGCTTTAGACTAAGGAAATCAAAAAAAATTCAAATTAACATAATTCAATTTTTAGACTTTAACATCTCTGGGTATTTTACCAATGCTTGAAATGACATTAATGTCTGAGGATGTAAACATCAAACAAGCAGCCATTGATATTCTTACCATTCTTGTAGAATTCTCTCCATCTGTAATCCGAGAGTATATACTACAGCAGTCAACGGATAATGGTAAATTTAAATCATATAAATTCTTAAAAAAAAAGAACAATTAGTTTTTTTATTATTAATTTTAATAAATATTCCTCATTTCAACATAATATTTATAATACATATAAAATGAATGGTCTACTAAAATAACCTGATAACTCCACTTTTTTTGAAAATTTACTTTTTGATATTATATTATATGTAAAAAATACCTCTATTTTATTTAGAATTACATTTAAAAAATGTGATTGATATTTTATCATTGAGTTATAAGCAAAATTAGCTAGTTCTTTTTGTATTATTTAATTGTAATATAAAATTATTTTTTGTTTTTCTTGAAATATATTCAGTAGTGAAGCTATTGTGTTGTTGTTAGCACATAACTTTTCCTTAAAATATAACATGTATTTTTTTTTTTTTTTTTTTGTAGTATCGCAAGCTAATGGCAATGAAGTGGTCGAGCTTATGCTGATGAATGTTATTATCGAGCAAATGATTTGTGATACTGATCCTGATCTCGGTCGTGCTGTTCAACTAATGGGTGTTATACGTGTATTGATTGATCCTGAAAACATGTTGCCTTCATTGAGTAAAGTTGAAAAAACAGACTTCTTAAATTACTTTTATAAAAACAGTGTTCATGTCCTTATTGGTAATATACATTTTTTACCATTAAATTCATAGTATTTATATGTGTAAAAGTCATGTTTTATTTCAGCACCTTTATTAGCTAATACAGTTGATGGTGAACCAGCTCGTGATGATTACCAAAATGCACAGTTATTGGCACATATACTTGAACTATTAACTTTTTGTGTTGAACATCATTCTTACCACATAAAAACTTGTATCCTCAATAAAGATTTACTGAAACGTGTCTTAGTATTAATGAAATCAGCTCATAAATTTTTGGTATTGGGAGCTTTAAGGTTTATGAGAAAAATTGTTGCTCTAAAAGATGAATTTTACAATCGTTACATAGTCAAAGGATGTTTATTTGGTCCTGTAATTGATTGTTTGTTAGAAAATAATGGGCGTTATAACTTGCTTGATTCGGCCATCATTGAGTTATTTGAATTCATTAAACTAGAAGACATTAAAATTCTAATAGCACATATTGTTGAAAATTATGGCAAAAAGTTTGAACATATTGATTATGTACAAACTTTCAAAGCACTAAGAATACGTCATAGTCAACATACAGAAAAACTTAAAGAGAAACCTATAACCAAGTATATTAGATAATTTTATTTCTTTGTTTAGTTTTGTTAAATACTTTTTACTATTTTAGTTGCAGTATGACTGTATCAACTGGACGTTTTAGGCGTGATCCACGACAGTTAGAAGATGAAGAAGAAATTTGGTTTAATAACGAAGATGATGAATTTGATGACAGTGAAGCTGTTGTTCCACACACAGGAATGACTAGTACTACACCAATGACAGCCTCTGAACAATTAGATTCTATTGGTAAATATAAAATAAAACATTAAAAAAAGTTTCAAATAAAATGATATTTATTAATTTTGACTCTCTGACATCATCAAATATTTATAAAATGATTTGTGATTTAAATTAATCTAAACAAAAATAATATTAAAAATCAATTTATAAATTCATTTTTAAAATTATTTATTATTCGTTTATAAATTTTTATTTAATTAAAATTTTAACTAGGATTATTTTATTTTATAATAAATAAATAAATATTCTTTCAAAATAAAATTATTCAAATAATATTGCTTGATAACATTTTAGATATTAGTTACTTATAAATATTGTTCTAGGTAAAAGTATTGATAAAAAATGTGAAGGAAGTAGCACTAAAATATTTGGTACTACGGTTAATAAAACAAATCCAGTTATAAACAATAATTTGGCTGTTACCCCAACACTTGGTTCATCTACAGAAGATCCAAAAAATAATTCTCTTTTGAAAAAAGTAAGTTTGACTTTTTAAACATACACTATGAATCAATTTGATTTTCATTAGATGTAAATTTGTTTTCTTAAAACACTTCAATGTAAGAATGAGTGCAAAAAAAAATATTAATAAAATAAAGGGATTTTCCCCATTTACAGGAAACTAAGATTTTTTCTTTTCAAATTTTGGTAATTAGAGGTTCAACAGATACAATTGGTTATATTTTGATATATTGTTAAGCAAAATGAGTTCAGTAGATGCTAAACATTTTTGTCTACTAACATGCAAAAAAAATATCATTTGAGAGTTTTATTACTTAATAAACTTGTATCCAATTAGCTGGATGGTATTTGATGGAAATATTTAATAACATTTATAAATTTTAAAATTCATAAGTAATTTAGATTACTATATAATACAAATGANGATGGAAATATTTAATAACATTTATAAATTTTAAAATTCATAAGTAATTTAGATTACTATATAATACAAATGAAGAAAATTGGTTAATGTTATTTCATTAATAACATTATTTATGCTATGGATGTGTTATGATCTATTTATTTTTGCATCAATGAATAATAAAATTTATAATTTGTTATTTAAATTAGTGATTATTTAATTAAACATTTTTTATAATTATTATTTATTTAATTTAAAGAATATTTGTTTAAAATATTTATTAGTGACAGTTTTGACTTTTTAATTTTTTAGGCTCTAGTCGACTATGAAGGTGATTCTGATGAAGAAGAAGATGAAAATGGCGACCTGAAGTCCCCCACTAAGAGGCCACGTTATACATAATTTGTAATTTTTCTTAAATTTATAGTTAAATTAATCATTTCTCGTTTTGTCGTACAAAACAAAGTGTCACTTGTATATTTTAAAGTATTAGACTTAATGACATCACCTCCATGTGTAAATATTAGTAATACTACATATTATGATTACTTAGAAAAGTTTTCATATGTGTTAAGCTAAGCTAGGTAAATGTTGCTTTTAAACATTTTTATTTTTTACCCAAAATCCTGTATATTTGACTGTCCTGTGGAATATTCATAATTGTCAGTACTTAACAATGATTATTGTAATTATAATGATATATATCTTTATATATATATTGTACCTGGTATGTATTTGTGGTAATAGAAACCGATCAGCAGTTAACTATTAAATAACGACATGTGTCATTTATGCATGAATGAGCCCATTGGTTATTTAATAAAACTTCTATTTTCTTAACAAGGTCTTTAAATTAAAGCAATTTTTATATATATATGATATTCTGAACTCAAAATTTCTTTCTTTCTTTGTATAAATGTCACTGTCTAAATAATACAAATGTAACTATTGTAACTTTGTAAAATTTAGAGCTTCATGTAGATACTATCATGTTGATGGTGTATATTTGGAAAAAAAATTATACAAAATTAATTATAAACGTTGAATTAATTTATGGTTTTTATAAAACTGTTGACATTCAACATATTGTTAATTTATTTTGGAGTCAGAAAATTTTAGCTGACGTATTTAATCAGGTTGAAAACAGTTAATATTTTTATATTAATGTGAATTGATATAAATTGCTTGTTGAATTAATGCAAGACATATCGTATTCCTTTCTATATAATTATACAATTTATTTCAGATATAATAATAATGCATATTAGTATATTTTTAATTTTATACTTTGTATCAATTAGATAATCAAAGTACTTACCAGATTTTTATTATCAATAAATTTTTTTTATGGTATAGTTTTAAAATTTTGTTTTCATGTTGTACTATTTTTAATGTGTTATTTTTAGCATCTTAAATGAGTTGGTTAGGTTCAGTAACTAACCTTTACTAGAGTCAATAAATTTTTATACTCAGTCTTTTAACTGTTTTTCATATTTAAATATAACAACAAATAATTCAAATATACTGATAGGTACTCTGATATAAGATAACCAATAATTTATTGCAGAATTAACTTTTGATTTTCAAATTATTTGAAATAGAGGTGGTGTAGAATAACTAATATTTATTGTAATATATTGAATATTTTTTATTTCATTTTTGTCTGAGAAACTGCACAATTTTAATTATACAACAATTTTGTATAATTTTTAAATATATAAAAAAATATTTCAAGAAGTCCCAATACAAGACTATTCACAGACTACTTTTATTAAAAAATTATACCTTTCTTCACTGGAAACTCAGTATAGATATGAATTTTTACTTGAAAAACAAAATTTTAAGATCATTTAAATTAATTGAACTGATTTTAAACATAAATTCAAATTAAATAATTTTATTGTAATAATTTGCAAAATTTGTTGGACATTATTTCACAATAAGAATTATTAAGAAAGGATCTAGTAGAGCAGGATTTAGCAGTTTTATTATAGTTTGCTTTTAAGCAAATGATTTATCTTGAATCAAGAGGGAGTTCAATAATATGACGTATTAAAAGTACAAATTTAGACATGTTTGCAAATATTTATTTATATATAATTCCCAAAAAAAAACAATTTTTACCTAAGATATGTTCAAATGACTAATTGGTATAGTTTCATATAAAAGTTGAAATTTTAATGCCAAAATCTTATGTGAATCATTAACAGATGTCAATGGTTCTCACTTATATCACCTAGGTAACATAATTATTTGGATCGTCTTTTTGAATAAAGTTTATAGCCATTTGAAAATCGTTAGCCAGTCGCTGAACACTTCCGAGGTACCTAAACATTTGAATTCGTCCCTAGTCGATGATTTGCTGTACAATTACAAGTATTAATCCTAAAACAATTATGTAAACTCGTTCACGTTCTGATAAACTCCTAATGTAAAAATTAATCTTGTACGTTTTTAATAAAGTGCAAAGTTTTGATGACTTGCTTATAATCTGATAATATAAATATTTATGGAGCAATTAATTTTATGTGGGCATCTAATTGGAGGAGACTGAAGGTAAAAGTAATGGTGTAAGTTAGGTTAGATCCCATTGAACAAAAATAATTGCATGCATGTAATCATGATTAAAATACAGTTTTTAGCTTCGATGCCAAGCTGAGAAGGTATTAATTTTACTATGATGTGTTTTTTTTTTTTGTGTGTCTTACCACTTTTTCTCAGCTCTCACCGAACCGATTTCTTTAAACGATACGTCAAAAGATCACAAATCGTAACAAGTCAAAGACATTACTCTCAAAAATTAAAAAAATTTTCCCTCGTTCCCCGTAAATGAAGGAAATCTTCAAAAAAATTATAAATTTAAAAATCGCTAATTTTCGACATTTTTTCAATTTTTTTTACATAAAACTCATAACTTTTTCAAAAATGACCAAATCAATATAATTTTTTTTTTAAATCTCACCCTTTACCTGTCCACGGTGGGTGATTCAAAATGTCAACTTTTTCACAAAAAATTAACTTTTGAAAGTGTACCTGAAATACTGACACTTAGGTATATACCTTAAATTAAAAGTTATGTAATATATTATTACATATTAACTTATGTATTTATTATGGAAAAAAAAATACGATTCTTATAAAAAATTAGTTTTTATATTTTTAACTTTATGAAAAATGTAGGAATCATAATTTTTTTAAGATAAGTATTATTTTAATTCTTCTTTTATGCAACATACTTTTTTTTTAAATCGGACCATTTCCCTTTGTATATTATAAATATGTATACATTCATATATTACACTTATAAATTATAAAACTTGTAATCAGAATATTAATAAAGAAATAGGAAATCATGTAGCTTTTGGAATAATCCACCAATTTTTTTAAAATTAAAAACTAGATTTGTATCGAAACGGTTTTTATTATAAAATATGTATTATGGAATGAAATTTATACATAATTAGGAAATGATACGACTCGATAATTAATTATTTTTGAACTACATTCCAATTCAATACTGTGCCTACTATATAGTCTGAATTGATTATTTAAAACTTAAATTGGACTTTTTTAAATTATCGATTCAATGACTGATATATTTTAAGATTATCATTAAAATTGAAGAATTCTTCACATATACTTTTAGAGATATTTTTTGAAGAAAGATTTAAAATCTCTCCTAATAATAATTTTGCAAAACATTACCACGCACAAGCGCTTATCGATAGAGAATGATAAAGGCTATTTCCTCTCCTGAAATTAGAAAAATATCTGTTATTTTCGATTTAAAATATATTTAATGAGTAGACAGAAACTCAGAAAATCTACTTCGAGATTGCCCGCAAAGTTTTAAAATATGTCTTCTGTCATTTTTTTTACTTCTTAACTAACGCCCCCATACGAATATGACGCATCTCTTAATAAAAGAAATCTTCCTTATGTATAAAAAATGTAACTATTGAGTCAATAACATAAAAAAACATAAATGAATAACAATTTTTAGCGACGAATAAAAAAAATATAATTTATGACATACAATTCGACGAACTATGGAGAAATTGGATGGGTGTCCGAAATGCAAGGTTACACGCTGACAGCAGCTTTTGAAAACAATAACAAAATGCTGTACAAGGTTTGCTTGCGGGAGCAAAAGGAACGAGTTGCGTTTAACGGGACTCTGCAGGAGCTAATGGAATAATCTCATAGGAGCTCAGCGTGACACGTGTCTGCAACATTTATATAACCTATGAAACAGTATACGGTGCGCTAAAAATTATTATATCCCAATATTTGGTGTTGTCGGTATTAACTGACGTTTAAGAAATAGAAATTTATAAACATTGCTATAATTAATATCGGTTAAAGTTATCATTAGAAGTAATAATTATTATAAATAAGGCATAACCATGTTAGTATAGATATAGGTCAATAACAAACGACAACTTGAAGTCCATCAACCTAACCAAAACGGCTCTAAGAATCAGAAGCGGGTACATAAAATTTATTTATTTATTTTTTTTTTTGGAAGGAGCCTTCGATTATTTTATTGATGAAAAACTTATAGTTTTAGGGCTGTGAATAAAGCTTTTTTTCATATCTTCTTAAACGCATTTATGAAGGTTTAATAGATACCAAAGTGTATTGACAACATTACAATATCCAATTAATTTGCAACTCGTTTTTTTTTTTAGTTTTAATAGTAATATAGACAAGACGTAATTAAAAAACTGCAGCTGTAGTACACCTAAAACTTTTAGACTTAAAAGTAGTAGAAAATTATATTTTCTACAATAAATAAACATTTTATAGGGTGCAAGAAAAAATTGAATAAGGATTCTAAACATGTTATTTTAATTGCGTCAATAAATCTAAAAACATTTCGGAATTACATTTTTGGTCTAACACTCCCAAAAGACTTGATTCCAAACGATTTAGATACTAGTCATATAAATCGTTTTGAAATAATTACAAAGAATAATATTGATGCTCAGTTTAAATTTCAGTTATCATTAAAAATTTATATAATAATTATGTTTGAAATTTTATAAAAAAAAATTAAAAAACATCATTGTATAACCTTTAATTCATCCAAAATTGAAAACTATTAGAGGCAATGTTCATCCAGGAGAGGGATTGGGATTATAAATCATCTCTCGAAAAAACGATTTTTAAATTATAGCCTTTGAAGATGTTTTTTTTTTTGCTCGTACAGATTATTGAATTATTTTTCTTGAAAAAAAAAATATACCCCAAACCTTATCACCAAAAAATTTCTAGGGGTTTTAAATAGTAGGTGCAATGTTCTATTATTTAGGCGTGTACTCGTTAACTTTTTTAGAACTACCTAGGAATGCCACCAATGTCATAAACCTTTTTGGAGGGTTTATTACAAGGAGAGGAAGATAAAGCAATGTGATTGTGAAGCTCCCGTTTATATTCTTATTAATTTTCGTTATTAAAATAACTTTTATGTGTAGTACAATAGACCAGTCCGTCCCTGACAATAAAAAATATTCATCATAGTTCTTCGTGTTCAAGCGTTGCAAATTTTTTTTCGTAAAATTTCTATTATGTCTTAATAGGTAGTCATTTCATACATTCAATTACGTTTGTCACAAATATTCGTAATTGTATTGTATAATATTTCAAAAATGTAAAAACTTGTAGTTATTATAATAATGCGTTATTATATCTACGTTGATCTTTTAACCAATCATGAGAATTAAATTTATTCATTTTGCCTAACATTGTGTTTAAATTGAAAAAGGGTGTTAGGCCATAAAACCTCATTTGTTTACTTCAATTAATAATTCAAGTTTACGGGATAACCTATCAATGTTTGAATCATACGGTTCACTTGTGGGAATAATAAAA